GTGGCTCATATAAAAAGCATGTCGTTTTCTAGTGACCTAAATATATTTCCTTATTTTATTTTGTGCATTAGTAATTCCACAATAAATTAGTCCATAAAATCTTATTTTGAAACAGGCCCAAACATATGTGAACAAGACTAATTGTATATAGTGCGCATTAGATTTAACTAATGTGAAGGTTCTCTCATAACAATAGGGAGCAATAAAAAGCAATATACGAATGGTGATAAATAGATGGAAAGATATGGATTATAAAATGAAAGCAAGAGAAACAGAGGATAGACGATGCATGTGACTGCCTTCTTGCGAATTTGCTCGAGAGCTTCGACCAATACTATTGAAATGGAATATTCACACAAACCTGAAGGAAAGGACACTTCTCTTCCAAAGCTTGACCACACAACCTGTAGAGGTCAACAAAATGAAGTACTTCAGAGTTTACAGCATAAACTTCAGGTACTATAAACTAAAAAACATCAGAGATGGAAAACACAATCAGCACAGGGCACAAAGAACACCAGCGACTATCCAGAAAAATGGATACAGAAAGATCGGAGATGGCTGAACGCATCGCCCTTACCGGGCACACAAAGGAGTGGAGTGCAAAGGAAAGATTGGCTTCATATAGGGCGTCCTCTTTCAAAGAAACCTTATTAACAGAAGATTGGACGAGGGAAGAGTCAACGAGAATTTCGCGTATTGTCCAGGGCGATATGGTAATACAACAAAGACATAAAAGAGATGACGCTTGGACCAATGACAACTTTTTAACAACAGGAAGAGACATAGTCAAAGAGAGGATCATGAGGGGCAAAGGCAAGTCAAAAAATGCAAATGCAGTAAGGGCAGTCGAGCAAGAAATGTGTCTGAATGTACCGGTGTGGGTCCACCTGTGGGATATGGGGTATGAAATTAGAGGCCAGAAGCATGTAAATTACATGCGAAGAAAAGTTGGGTTTCAAGGAATCTCTTGTTTCATAATTGTTGAGCTTAATTCCATTTCGAGTGAAAGTGTTGCGTGAAGAAATTCGAATGCCGGTTCCACCAGAAGACTACGAGTCAAGTTTTATTGACTCGTTAGCTTGAACTTTGTTGTGACGATGTTACCTCGCTCTGATGATTTCCGTCATATGATGGACGAAAGCTTAGCACATTTTCACCAGAGTCGAGTGAGATTGCCTCGGAAACAGCGTCAGCATGAATCTTCCAGTGAAGCCAATCGACAGCTGATCAAGAGAAATCCGCCGTCGTCTTCTGGTGGTGCCAACCTTTTAATCTCTTCACGCAACACTTTCACTCGAAATGGAAGTAAGCTCAACAATTATGTAAATTATACACCATTAGAGGCGCTAGGCCAAACATATAGGTCCATTTCAAATTGATCAGGGTGTGGAAACTAAATGCGGGGGCACTATATCATTTGGTCTTCAATGTGGGTATGTGTGTGTTCTTGTGCACATTTTTCATGTGTGCCTGTAGTGAGTGATGACTGTATACATACCTGACCAACGAGATGTGTAACCGACGTATACATGCACAACTGACCATAACTTTAGTATTAGGTGGGACTTTCAGCTTGAGAGACAAGAAGAGTGTGCCTTAGGTGATTTAGGATTGGAGAATGGAAGTCGGTCATCTTCACACCAGCGCTACCAAATCAAGCCAGACACAGGGTCACAGAGAATGAGAGAGAATGAATCGAGATGAAAAAGAGGGTAAATAGGTGATGGGGCTGAAGTCTAAGGAGGAGCAAAATGCCTAGGCATGAGAATCGCTGGTCTTAAATCCTCGAATATGATGTAAATGGGACCCAGAATTGAGGGCTTACAGACGATAAGATTTCTGACAGTCAGACAGTGATTATCGTGTGCAGCACGGATCAAATGAAAGTCAGAAACTCTGAAAACGGCATCTAAAACCGGCGGTGAAGGAGATTATGCTTCTCTGAGTCTTCTTGAATTGACACACTTCTCTGCGATATCGGAGGAAGCGAGAACACAGAATAGTGGGAATAGAAAAATAGGCCATATGAAGTGGGGTTGAAAGGACTAGATGTAGCTCTAGAAGGTAGGGCAAAACTAGGGGCGAGGAGTGATGTCACAGCGGTTGAACAAAAATTTGTTCAAGAGGCTTGCTTTCACTTGCCACTTTGATATGTCCTAACTCTGTGATTGCGATGCCGACTATGATGCCGTTTGGGTATGTACCAAGTCAACGTTTCGATGCTGGAACTCATCAACACTCGGGCAGATTGCGCAGGACTAGATATGTCCCACAAGATCTTCCTGTTGCCCCGACCAAGATGCGAAAACTAGGTCAAACCACACTTCACAGCTAAAGGAGACGGCGACCAAACAAGAGGCCATACCATATTGGTCTTTAGATTTGCTCTTCTAACTTTAAAGAAAATAACACCATATCATACTTAAAGGAAATGTCATTATAAATCTTGCTTCCATTGTTAAGTATTGCAACCCGTATGTTGGCTTCGACAACATGAAGGTAGAGTAACATCTTTGATTGCGTATTAAATATGGAGGGACTATACGAACTTCAGCTAAAGTAATTCGAATTGAAGCCCCTCAAACAACCCAGTTCCTGAGAGTCAGATTACTTATAATATCTTGCCATAAGAAAGTGAATTTAGATTGTAATTTGCCTGACCCTTTAGGATATAAAATTTGGGAAGACCAAAACAAATCGGCTGTGAGTCAGGTCTGAAGCCTAATCTAGTTGGTTCTAAAAAATCGTTTATATAATCTAGAACTATTGATACATTCCCCCCAAATTTACGCATTACATAGCTAGTTTGGGGACTTAAGATAAACCTTTTATTGTATACTCAAATAAGTCTTAAATTTAGCCGCAGGATAGCATGTTTATCATTGGTCGTTGGCCTTAAGATCTCGTATTTGCGTCTGAAACGGTAAAACCGCTTGTGATGCAGAGACCCGGGCTAGACCCAATCCGTGATAGAAAGTTAACTGAAAACGATAGTGAAATTCTCTGTAAAATTAGATCCTCCAAATGAGTCATTAAGGGCCCAAAATTACTTGCGAAAGCAACAAATGTGCCACAAGGTATCTTTTTTTCATCCCACGATTGCAAAAGGTTTTGTCATAGTGGACACTGGCACGTTAACCTCATCAAACTCTTTGTCGATGGAACTAGAAAGATGAAATTCGATTTCATACTTCTTGCTTATGCTCTTCGCTATCATCATATTTGGGGACTAAATTCCTATAGTACTTAGGTATTCTATAATTTTTACACTAATAAATTCTCTCAAAATAATCGAACTGTTATAATTTGCGCATTTTCGGAAACAGTTTTGAGAGATTACTTGCTAAAAGAAACTACCTCAATCAGCTCACAATAAATAAATACATTTTACTTTATTTGATAAATAGCTGTCTTTAAAAAGAACTTGTTTTGTCTACTAAGGATCAGGTTGCATGAACGA